ATCCTAATGTCATATGAAGGAGGACCTCGATTTCACTGCTACAGGACTGACTTTTCACAGGCTGCAAACTAGTTGTGAAGCTACCTTGAGATAGCTTAATATATGAATATGTTGCTCTCTCTCTAAATGAAGTCTTGTTCCTCATTCTTACTTTATACAAGCTCTGACATTTGTCAAACACCTCTTAAGGGTTGATTCATCTCAGTAACCCAGGAGGAAAAAGAAAGTGAATTGTTCTGTAGCTATATTTAATGCGATAGACTGACTCAGCAAAGGGTCTAACAAGAGCTAGAAGGCAGCGGGAGGACAGGCAGAACTGCACAAGGTCAGGTAGAACTGACAGGAGACAGTTTCTCTGCAACCCAGTCCCCACAGGTTAACCCTGAGGTGGTTCAATCACTTCTTTCCTAAGTAGTGCTTTGATAAGTAAAGTCAGTCATGATGTGATGATGGATTTATATGGGTGGTTCTTAATAGGAAAAGCTTTTTAATTTTTATTAAATTAAGAGATAGTATATTTATTATAAACATTTTGATGAAGAAGAGATTTAAACAAGAGAAGCTTTTATAATGCTTTAAAACCTCAAGAGAACATAACCATTTACATTCCAGTAGGTATTTTGTGAAGTAATTTACCATGATTCCACTTCAGTTTTGTTTTGAGTGCCAGCTGTTCCTAAGTGGAAACACAAACTACAAGCCCTGCTAAAAATTTAGCATTTGAGTTTACACAATTCCTGGCAGCCTGCAAAACAGGTTTGTGCACTCCAAAGGACATCTGGCGTCTTCTGAAATTATTTGTGGACTAATTGTTTATATCCTAGCAAGTACCTAGGGAGTAAGTACCTGTCAAGGAAAGAAGTAATTTTTTCCCCTTGAAATGAGTGGTAACACACAGTTCAATACCTCTGACCAAACGCATGTTTGGGCCCACTCCCTGCATACACATCCCAAAAAAAGAAAAAAGTATTATCCTGACTGAGTACTTTAAGAGCTGGCAGAATGAAGCTCCATTTCAAAAACCTTCAGGAACTGTTTTTAGGTGATGCCAAAGTGTATGGAAGAATTCCTGCCTACATGTTCTGTGCGCTGGTAATCTTAAGTCTTAATTGCTCTGGAAATCTACTACCTGCCTCCAGTTAAGCCTTTCCTGACTTGTAGGCCGTGTCAAGGCCAAACAAAAAATGAACTTGCAATACAGCGTTGCAGTCATTATAAACCTGAGCTATTAAATGCTCATAATGCTGGTAAAAAGTGTAGAATAGCTATCCACTCTGTCAGCAGAATTCATGATGCTTGGTTTCCACTGGATTTTTATCTATTATTCAGCAGTAGTAACCCATGAGCTCCTTTGTTCCAAATCATGTTACCTTGTTTCCATACTAAATGAAATGTATCAGATGCCTAGGGTTTAATAAATGTCACCTAATAGCAAAGGTTAGTATTAAAAAAAAAAGAAGAAACAAAATACCCCAAACAAACTAAAAACCTATATTGAGGTGTTCTGATGTGTTCCTTATGATACTAGCTGCTAAGGAAACATATTTCTTACTCCTGTAGCTTTACATCTATTCTTCCACTATTCTCCTGGTAAGAAGGGATCATATCCTATTCATGCTTTATCCCAGCCCTCAGAGGGACTGCATATGATTATTATTATTTTTATTATGATCACCACACACATCTGAGAAACTTACCTGTAATTTAACAAAATTCTAAATATTACACAGGTTAATTGTACTTCCTTAATTGTACTCAACTTTGAACAGCAGAGGCCCTAGCAATGTGTGTCTTAAATCAGAGAATGCACCAGAGAATGACCACAGAGTGGTTTTCACAAGGTCTTTACAATTCATTCTTTAGGCTCTGGTGAGCATAAGCTCTTGGTGCTTCAAGGAGACTTCCACTAGCAGAGGTGCAGAGTCTTTCACTTGTCAATATATTTTTTTCTTTCAAAAGTAATTATCTGTGGTGTTGGTAGGGATATATATATTTTAAATTTACTTTAATAAATGCTGCCATATGCACTAGTGTTTTCTCTGAATGTGATCAGTTGGACACACATTTTTCCATTAACATGTGAGCATTACCAGCCACGTGGAGTTTTTTGCTTGTCAAGGGTGTACATGTTTCTGCTGGTGTGCAGCCAGAAACCATCGCACTCTTGTGTCAGGATGATGTTACGTAAGTGCCACTTTGGGAAAGTTTGTGTAGTTGTCCAGCACTGGATTTTGTGCTGAATGGAGATCTTTACATTCCAGTTCTAAGCCCATCTGTTTTCAAAACAACTCCGTAAACCTGCCTCACAGTGTTCTAATGTAAATAAGCTGCAAATGACTCAGTCCTCACATGTGAGCACTCCAAGGAACTCCCTTCTGCCAAGCACTCACTTCATTTAGTTAAAATCACTTTAATACTGAGTCTTACAAGATGAAGTGCTGCCACAGCCTCGTGCAGCCTACTAACCAAAATGTGCTTGCTTCCCCTCTGTTCCTCTCCAACTCCTCCAAATATACGTAACTTCAACGATGTGGGGGTTTGGTGGTTTGGGGTTTTTAAGGTGTATCAGTCTTACCAGTCAAGGGCCTCAGTACTTGACAGGCCCTACTGAATTTGGTTTAACTGGATTGTTTTAAAACTAATAATAACCAAGTCAAACTGTGCTGTAAAATTGCCAAAATTGGAACTTTTAATGCGTCATGACAACTTACAGCTGGACATAGAGAAATGTTCGCTCGCCCCTCACGTGAGACAAATGTGCTCACAGATCTTCCTTTGGAGGTGTGCTGCCCCAGCGCAGGTGCCATCGCTGCACCGTCACTGTGCCCCTATGCTTTCCAGGACTCGGTAAGTGCAACTTTGCATAGATAAAAACTGGAATACGCACGTCTTCAGTGGCTGAGTCCTTATGGAGGCGGGAAATCCCGTGCGGTGACACCCCCGCCGGGCCCGCCCGAGACGGGTTCATCGCTCCCGGGAGGCAACGTCCCATGACTGCAGCCCGTCCCCTTCTTGTGTGGGCTAAGGGAACGGGGAGCAACCCCCGGCGAACTGCGCTTCCCAGAGACCTGCGGGACACGACACAAGCGTCCCTTGAGGTAGCGCTGGCGCCCGGCCTCCTGGGACGGGTAGTTCTTGTCCCGCCTCAGGCGTTCGCGCCAACTACATGTCCCGTCTTCCCCCGCCCCGAAACCGGAGGCGGAAGTGGCAGGAGCGGCAGGCGAGCGCGAAGGCTGACAGGAATTGTAGTTCCTCCATGCGCCGAAAATGCAGAGAACTACAATTCCCGTCTCTTCCGGGGAGGCGGGATAAGGCGAGCTTGCGCAAGGCACGATGGGTATTGTAGTTCCCCGTGCCGGGCCTCAGACGTGCTGCTGGAGGAGGCCTCGGAGAGCTAAAAACTACTAAGATGGCGGCGGGGATGCTGAGGGGAGGGGGCTACGGGAGCCCCGGGAGGCCACACTGTTCTCGCGTCGGGGTGGTGGAGTACACGCGGAATCGCCGGAGCGAGTGCTGAGTCGGTGCCGCCGCCGGCTTCCCCCTCGCCCCGGACGCTGGGAGACGCTTCGGGGCCGCAGAGGCTTGTGGGGTAGCCACAAAATGGAGGCGAACGGGAGCGGCAGCGGGAGCAGCAGCGACTCGGCTCCCGACTGCTGGGATCAGGCGGACATCGAGCCGGGCAGCGGCGCTGGCCCGGGGTCCGCCCTGCCGGCTGCGGAGGCCGAGGCCCAGCAAGAGCTGCTCGGGGCGGCCTTCAGCCGGCAGCTGAACGTCAACGCCAAGCCCTTCGTGCCCAATGTCCATGCCGCCGAGTTCGTGCCGTCCTTCCTCAGGGGCGGCCCGGCGCCCGGCCTGCCGCCACCCTCACCCCCGCCTGGCCTGCCGCCGCCGCCGCCCCACGGTAGCTGCCGCGCCGGGACGGGTGGGCGCTGAGGGCGGAGGGATGGGGGCCATGTTGGAAGGGCGCGGGGCCGTGGTGCGAAGGGGCCCGGACGGAGGGCTGCTGCGCCCCACAGGGCAGGAGTTGAAGGACCACGCGGGGCTGGTGCGCGGCGCGGAGGGCCTCCGGCGGGCGGGCGGGCGGGCGGGGGAGCCGGGCCGGCCTGGGGAGCGGCCCGGGGACCGGGTGGGTCAGGCTGGAGGGGTGCGGGCGGTGCGGCAGCGTTGGACTGGGGCTTGAGGGGCCGAGGGGTGAACCGGCCCGGGGGTGGGGGAGAGGCCCGACCCAGCGGTTGGGGCGCCGGGTGCTAACGGCAGCAGGAGGTTCTCCCCAGTGAGGGGCGAGGGCAGGTGCGGATGGGGAGCCGCCGAGGAGGCCTCTTTACAGAAGAGGGGTCTGGGGGAAGGGGCTTAAAGCAGCGAACTCCAGGCAGAGGAGCCTGTAGGGCATAGGTGAGGGGTTGGTTGCAGCGTCTGATGCAGCCCTGAGAGCTGGGGGGCCTTGGGAGGGGGTCTGCAGGCCGCTGTGGTACAGCTGGCCCGGGTGGGGAGGCTCTGTGGGACGTGCCCTGAGAGGCCAACCCGTGGCACCGGGACTGTGCTCTAGGAGCAGCAGGAACTGGTGTGGTCTGTCTGTCCACGGATCCTGCGTACGTTTCTGTGGTACCTTTACTCGCAAAGGGTCGCCCATGACGAGAGGAAGCCATGTAGTCCTCTCCTTCCTAAGGCGCTAGAGAAGTTGTTGAAGATTTTGGCGGTGATAAATTTAGTGTTTCTGGGGAGAACAGCACTGCTTCAGCCACTAGTGGGTCAGATGTATCTTAAATGTCTTTTTGAAGATTACAGCAAGTAGTTTTGGGGTTGATTTTCTAATACAGTGCTGATAAAGGATTAGTAGGTCAGGGAGGTTTGTCCAGCTGGCCCTTCAATGGAATAACTTGAAATTTACCCTACTTTTAATTTCAAAGGATCTTTGTACACAAAGCCAGTGTTTATATTCTATTTGCTTTGCATATGGGAAATTAAAGGAGAGCTACTTTTTCATTTCCAGTTCCAAACTGAAGGTCCTTCCAAACATCAGACTTGCAAGTTAACTTTGGGGTAGTATTTTAACGTCGCTCCTGCAGCTAAGGAGTTTGAGGCCTGGTTGAGTATGATAGTTTAACAGCTTTCTATTTGCCTCTATAGTTTTCTGTATTCCTATTGGTACAACAGAAAACAAGCTAGTATTTCACATACGGATTCTAGTAATTTAATTTCACTAAAGTGATTACTTGTTACATTATGTTTGTCATGATTTCCTGTTGATTGTGGCTTATTATTTATTGCATTCTGATTTAATATATTTATTAGTCTCTCCCTAATACCTAAGTTATCAGGTGTTAATAGCTAAAATCTGTGACTTTCATATATGAAGCTTTAAAATTTTCATAGCAGAATATTAACCTTTTTTTGTGTTAGAGTAAATGTTAGATTATGATTTTTATCAGAAATTGTCACTCATGTGTTATGCAGGCAGGACATGTGTTAAAATATACTTTCAAGAAGCCATGGGCAGACTCCTGTCTTCCATTTAGAACAGATGTATGTGTTAAGGTTCACGGGTGTAAAGGGAGAGAGCTTGAGGCTGGGCTGAACCTGTGATGAACTTTTAAATAATCTTCAAAATCCATTCTAATATGTTTTTCAGCCATTGGAACCTGAATCCAAGGAGATTTATAACTATGTAATCAGTACTATGATCGAAAACTTTCTTGGGGTTTTGAATATTACTAGAATAACTTTGTTTTTTTTTTCTCCCTGACTACTTTTGTAAGGTTTCTCTTCAGGCTTTACATATATATGTATATATTTAGGATTTAAACTACATTTCCTCACCTGCTCATTATATTTATTTCTTCATGATCTCCTTTTCTCCACTCTTTTACTACTTCTGAGGCCTATGATAAGCTTTGTCTTTCCAGAAACTAGACTTTACTGAAAGCTTCTTGATCATCTAGAATGATCAGGATAGCTTTTCTTTCTATCTTAGTTGCTGAGCACATTTCTTACATGCTGGTATAATCTACCTGGTTTGAATTCACTTTGCTCCTGCATCTTCTTCAAGGTTTAGAATTTTGAGGTTTTATAATTAGGTGGAAGTCCCTAAGATTAAGCAAACAAAAATGTGCAGATAAAAAAAAATAATTTTTTCTTACCTGGAATACTGTACTTGTTATCTACCTTTCCAGGTCTGATGTACTTGGTTACAGTAAGTAATTGACAGCCTTGTCCTTGCAGGTGTTCGTATAGGGTGACAACTCTTTTCCTGGCCAGAAGAACTAGGTGGAGCTTGCTCTGGAAATATGTCAGAACAACATGTGATTAGACAGTAGTGCTGAATAGTTACTTTTCAGCAACCCAGTTTGCTTTTGCTCCCACAAGGAATTAGGTGTTCTGTGACACTCATTCTTTGTTACCTTGTGAGGAAAAAATATTTCTCTTTTTTTGTCTGTACAAATCCTGGTTTGTACTGAGAAGAATCTAAACTAAGATTGATTCATAGGAAGGACCTAAAAAGCTGGGTGTCAGTTTGAGGACTTAAGGTGCTTAAAGTTAAGTTCTGGTAACACTTTTCTTCTTGGAACTTTCTCTAGGTGAGGTTTTTTTTCGAATCCTAATTCCTTAGTAATTCAAAGGGTGTTGCAGGTTGAGATAAATGTGTAGTAGCAGCATGGCATATGGAAAAATTGCACAGCACTGATCTCCAGTGTGTGGCTGTAGTGGGTAACAGTGTTCCCTTTTATGCAAACTTCATGTTTTTAGTAATTGGTATAAAATTCCTGTCACTTGTGTTTAGACCACTGAAATAAAGCTCACAGAAGCTGGGTAGGGAACAAGAAGTCAACTTCCTAAAACTAGGGAAGTCCTAAGACCTGCATTCCAAGTAGTTTGGAACTTCTGTTTTATGTGTACTTATGATTGCAAATGCTCTATTAGGGAGAATAGCTGACCAATATTTACCACTAATATAATTCTTGCTTTCAGATAGCTTTGTGATAGAATTAGTTTGGAATTAAATTATCATTTGATTATATGTAAGAAGGATATGTTACTTAAATTCTTCAACCTAAGGAACAGATTAAAACCAGTACGTTCTAAACATTACAGCTGCAAGGACTTGCTTTTATCAAATTGTGTCCAAGTCAAACTCATTTGTGTGAAAACTTTCCTTGTTGGAGTCTATTGGTCATGTGAAAAAGAGACATCTCGATTTTTTTGTCTGCAGCAGGCATTGCTGTGGCACAGCCCCTTCCAGTGAGCATGTCGAGTGTGTCATGAACAAGTTGTGTTTCTAGGAAAGCTTACTGTAGATAGTTGCTGGACTAGCAAATCCAACTCAATTAAGGTAAGGTAGGATAGTCAGAATGACAGCAGATTGTGTTAGGGCCTCTAAACATTCTTAGTCACAACTGCACCTTGTAGCTTCACTGTTCTGTAGCATCTGTGACTTATTTTTGTTCTGTGGATTACTAATTTTGTAAGTGCATATAAAATGTAATTACATTTGGGTGGCTTTTTGTGGTGGCTTTTGGATGGGTTTTTGTTTCTGTACCAAGGCATGGGTCAGAAGTGTAAGGGAATAGTTAAAACCTGCTCCCTTCCACCCCTGCCTGATTAATAAGATTTCTACTGTGGAAGTTTTGGTTGGATCTCAGGGATGAGAGGAGTGAAGGATTTCTGAAAATGCAGTGTCAGCCTGCATTCTTGTGGTTCAATTTTTGTTATAGTTCTGGAATATTCATGGGATTCTTGGTAAAATTCATCACAGCTTCCTTGTATGGGCTTTACCATATTTTTTACAATATTTTATTTCGGATTGTCTTCTTTTTAGAAGTAATTCGCTGATGACTTTGGAGCAGGAGACTGAACTAGATAACTTCCAACCTGAATTGTTCAAAGATTTGAAGTATGCAGTGGTGGTGGTAAGAACAAAGTGTTATTAGCACAAAAAGTGTGTGACACATAGCAGTTAGTATAGAGACAGATAGTGTTTATCCTTTTGGTGGTACTAGTCCTACTGCTTCATTTACTAGCTCTCTTGACCAAGTAAGTTTCTGAACATATTAGTTAATGACTACAGTTTTGACAACTTGCACCTACTGTCTTGAGCCAAGCAAACATCTGGCTTAAGACTCAGTGCCCTTTAGGATTGCTTCACTCCCTAAATATTCTCACCTGCCTGCAGTAGTCACTTTTAAAAATAGTTACATTAAAGCAGTTGCACATCCTCAGCCTTCAAATGCTGTAAGTGGATAAAGCATTTATCTTTCTGGTTTTCCTTGCCCTCATTTTCTTGACTTTGTAGCTACCTGGGCCATCCGCATCATATCCCACTTCTTTCCCTGGCATCAGAATCAAAAGGAGGAGTTTCAGTATCTTCTGCTTCAGTTCTGAAGCCTATAATTTGCAGAGTAGGATGATGAATTACCTGTATCATCACATTCCCCAAAACTGGTCACCATCCTTTGTAGACTGTATTTAAAGACTCTGCAACAGTTCAGGCCTCAAGAGACGTCACTTTGCATGTAAACTTGCTAAGAAAGGCTTGTTTGTTTAAAACTAGTAGTCCATCATTCCAGAAGCTATCACATCACATGGTTTACTCATATGAACGTTTGAATAGCCATATGCTGGTGGTTTCCTCGCAGGTAGGGTGTTGGTAACGCTGCTGTTAAAACTTTATAACTAAACATGAACTGCTTATGTGACAGCAGATCGGTGCCGTGAATACCAGTATATGGTATAAATTATTCTTATCAAAAAAATCTCAAGTCATCACTTGACTGTCTAGAGCAGTGTTCTGTGTCAGCTCCTCTAGGCAGGTGAGCTGTACACAGTCTCCATTAAAAGCGCAGAGGCTGTATTTCTTGGCACTGACTTGTCAGATGATCAGATATAGTATACGTGTGTGATGCAGTCAAGGTGCCAGTGTGTTACACAGATGTCCTTTGTCTACATCTGAGCTGTCCCCAGGAAGGCAGCCAGGATTATGTTGCTCCTGTTAGAATAATTCATCATTCTTGTGGTCTTTGTATGTCTCCAATAAAAGGTGGACCACAGGAGACGGCTGTGGATTTGATGAACTGTCCTGGAGTCTGCATGCAGTCTGCTGACCGTGTGTTTGGACTACTGATTTAATGTATTTGAAAGCACAATGTTACCTTAAAACTTGATTGCTGTGTCAAAATTAACACAAAAAGGATTTGGGATGATTCTTGGGTTCTGTTATCAATCTGGTTTTACAATTCTACTTTAGGAATTTGGGGATTTCTCTCCTGTTTTGTGATGACAGGAGAAGCAGCTGATTGTTTGAAGCAAAGATAGTTTGTTTTGGGGTTTTATTATGAACAAATAAAGCAGTCAAAATGTAATCAGTGAAATTTATGGCTGTGTTTTGAAGAGGTCTGTATGAAAATGATGCTGAATTTCAGTACAAAAATTAGTTTAGGACAGGTGATGCAATACTGAAAATGCATTCTCTAGAATTATTTGAGAATTTATGTGTAAATTTTACACTTACATGTAAATGTTAAGATCCTGAAATCTATGCTGGAAAATCTATGGGGTGCTTAGGTTTGTTGGGTTTTATTTTGTTTGTGTTAATTGCTGTTTCTATTGGGTTATGAGATCTTAGAGAGTGGAATCCTTAACTGTTCTCATGCAGAGCTTCATGTCTTGACTGTCGGTCTCAAAAATCAATTTATTAACTGAACACAAATACTTGGCCTTAAGGAAGAGGGGTTTTCATTATATTCCCTGAAAATCCCCATAAGCTTTCTTAGACTTAGTTGTGAAGAAGCATGTGTGGTTTAGATAAGACAAACTTAAGGTGTGTCCTCGTTGGGGAAAGAAAAATGTGGGTCTTTTACTAAACTAACATGTAGTAAAATCCTATGAGTACCAAGCAAGGGCTGTTTTTTTTTTTTTTTGTGAATTTTTACAAAGTTATGTTGAAACTGTTAAAGCTGCTCTTACATTGGTGCATTTCAGAAACTGAGCATCCACCTTTGTCCACTGGTGAAGCTGGGGCACAGGCTGCGAAACAGGGCAGAGACAAGAAGAAAGTAATTTTGGGTTTAAGTTAACTTTAAAAACATCTGCCTTTATTATAGTGAACTCCTGAACACCGTTTCTTTCTGTATATTTTAAAACATTAAATATGAAATATTTTGTTTAACTTTAGGACCTGTGCTTAAAGTAATTTTTTTGTGGGTTTTTTGTTTTTTGGGTTTTTTTGTAAACTAAGAATCTCGGGGTTTTTTTATTCTGATTCTCATGCTCCATGTGTTTGACCCAGACCTTTAATTTTACTTTTGTATTTTTTATTTTTTAATTCAAGCTTTCATTTGAAAGGGTGGGGGTGGGAAACATCTGTTTTATAATTCATGAAAACTGTTGAGACTGTGTGACTATTGTGCAAATATGTACTGAGGTATTCAATCTCACATACGTAAAGGTGATGGGGATCCTGAGATGGGTGTCATCTATTTCTTCACTCTTCAGCCTTCCAAGAATTCCTGTGAAGGAACTTGTTGCTCCTCCAATACAGGCATCAACAAACTCACTGTACAGGTCATTTAAGTTTAAAAAATAAGATGCTTCTTTCAAGCTGAATTTGCCTCTTTTTTTAATTTAATCTCTCTCTCTGCTCTGTTGTGCAGAGAGTTTCCTTAACCCCCGTACTCCACCTCAGTTGTCAGGTTCCAGTACTGGTTCTTATCAGTGCAGTAGCAGAAGGGGGCTGGGAGCTGTGAGTGCTGCCATGCATAGCAGCAAATGACAGCCCCTCATCTGTTCCATGAAGGCATTTGCATTGTGGCGCAGGTAACCACTTCTGAGCGGTTACCCATGAACCTCTCAGCAGTCTCTGCTTGTGTGGAGACATCTCTTAGCTTATTCTGGGATCTAGTAAATACTGCAGTAAAGATGGGAGTTGTCATTACTGCTTAGCACTTGAGTTTGACTTTAGTAGTGTATTTTAACTACCACTCTTTCAATACGGATTCCTAGTTTGCTAGCTCTACCTGTTCTATGTATAAAAATCTTACTTTGTTCTAAGATACATGTAATTATATAGCAATATTCTGTTTCTTCTGTGGAGGCATTGTAAATTGTTAATGCTGAGAAGTTCTTGATTTACTCTGTTTTAACACAAAATTTTAAAGAGGGTAATTGCCCTGGTTTTAAAGTTGTGTAATTTTTGTACCAAAATAAAGACAAAAATTATTTCTGCCTTATTCAGACAAGACTCAGAATTACATAATGCCCTTGTCTGATGGTGTGCCAGTACATAA